ATGACACTTATTTTTGATATATACTTTTTTATATATATATTTTGATATACTTTTTTTCCTGTCTCGATTTCGAAGTTGTCCTTCGAATTGTTTTCTTGTTTCCACATATTATTTGAAAAACACCAACTAATACAGGACAGAACATTCACCAATAACTATTTGTGATTGTTAACTTTCTCACGGAAAATCAACAGTATATTTGAATAATTTGGGTGCATAATGATCTTTGTCCAAACCATCCACGGTTAATGATCAAACAGTAGTAATTTTTATACCGAGTATTTCAACGAAGTTATCATACCTAGATAAGGTCGAGAACAGTTTAGTCCTTTTCGGCTATGCAATCATCTTGTGATATTGAAATTAGTTCTTAGAGTCAATTAGATTCAGTTACTGTAACATATAGACACATTGAGTTTGTTAAAATCTTGCTTGCATTTGAATGTACCAGAATGCATCAGAATCCAGTGATAATATTAAGCCTTGAGGTACCAGGATAAGGGTCTTATCAGTCATTCTGAGGAAGTTTGAAGTAGAAGTAGATAAACATAAATTGAGCTTGTTGTGATATGCATTGAGTGACAACGAAATTACTGTCACTGCTTATGTGGTGTTATTGTTAATCAGAGGTTGTCAGGGGGAAATCCATATAGATGCTTAACTAAAAGGTAAACCAAAAATGTAAACCATTATTCAACGGGAATAGTGTTTGATATGCAAATTAGTATGAGATTTAAGGATAATGGTATCTTTTAATTACTAACGAACAGTTATCAAGGTCCAACTACCTGCACACCATTTTGTGTGATCAGAATGTTCAAACTGCTCTAAATACAATGCGCGTTGGCTTTCAGTAATTTTTTTGTATGACTTGACTATTAGTCAAACCACTGAAACTAGTCAGCTGCATTCGCCGAATTTTTATATATAGGATATATATATATATATATATATATATATATATATAGGATATTCTATTTACTTATTACAATGTATACAAATTCTATAGATAAAAGTTTGAACAGACTGGCTTTTTGAAATATTGAAAATTAAAAAATATGAACGAATGAACTTGGATGCGAAAAAAAGAAGATAACTAAGACGTTTCACTATTTCGCATTACTGCTAATGTGGTTTGGCAACTTGAACTAATATACGTACGTACGAAGTTCTACGTTGCTGTTGACTGATTGATTGAACATTAGATATACTGCATATTATGTATCAGACATTTACAATATTTACTTTTACCAGGCGTAATTTTGGACATGGTCAGTTCATTAGTTGATGATAGATTTTGATGAAATAACTATTTGAAATTAAAAATTGAATACTCTATGCAAAATATAGTTTTTTAAGTTAGAATTGGTTTTCGTTATGGAACGTTATCAGTTTTAGGAGCGTTAATAATAATCAGAGAGCACTGGAGAATTGTTTCGTGATAGTGTACAAATCCTAATCATTATATGAATGGGACCTTATGAAGGAACGAATCAATGATTTTTGAGTATCACTACCTTCAGACTACTGATATGGGATTCATCGATACGAATTATCAACTTTAACCGGTTCTCAGTATTGTGCAACATCACCTAACAACTCTATACCTTACACTCTTGTTTTTAAACAGTTAAAACAGAAGTAGTTTTAATTTAAAATGTGAACTAGTGGACGCTGTTAACTAAAAGGTCTAAATTTAGTATGTTTTCTATGAGACTTGAATTAGATGGATTCAATTATAGACAGGGTTATTATTACACACTGATGAAGAATTTTATCCCAACACAATATGTGTATCCAATACTCTCTGGTTTTCACTCAGATTTCCTAATTGGTATCAACCCATGAAGTTAACAGTCTTTCACCTGTGATAGTTAAAACAAACCCCGCTAGTAAACAATTAAAAAGCCTGTTCTTTTCCCGTGATAAACGTTTTATGAAGATATCAAAAACAATTATAGAACTTGAAAATACATTATAATACCTGAAAATATTGTTGGATACTTACGATTCCTGGACATTTTTTTTATGTTCGTCACTTAGTATGCTTGAAACTATCACGACTCCCTCTTAGTCGATAAACGAGAATGAGACAATCAACTAGTGACACGGTAGGCTACTCTGATCCGTTGCCCCAAAGGAACTGACGCAAAGTCTTGATATAGCGTAGAAAGTATATTCTACAAACACCCAGCAAACGCAATGAATTCAAGCACACAAATCGCGTTTATTTGTACATCATAGAAACGTCCTTGGGACGGTTACAAAAACAGCATACTAAAATAACATATCAACCAATCACAGCCGAGGATTTTCCTGCTGAGAAACGTGATCTCAAGGTCCACTGATCAGCCCATGAATAAAATCCAAAATTAAGACATTTATCAAGCGAGTTCTGAGGATCAAACATCCCCAACAATTTTCTGGTAAAAATATCTTTACCAGTCTGTTGAAGCATTTGTCGATCAGTAAAAAATCGTGTGCCATTACAGCTAATTTAGAACTCATAATTGTTGCACAAGTCAATGGCTCTATGGAATCAGAAGTAAAGCAGATAACATATCGAGCGTTTGAAAAGGAAGGTATTGGATTGTAACCCCAAAGTGAGCATCAACTCTGAGATACAATTACATTCATCTGACGAGTTTCAAATAGAACAAAACACACGTTAGACATTCAATTTTATTCTATATAAACCTATGAAGTGATGATTATATCAATGCACTTATCACAGAATGCACATACATCAACTAAAACTGATCACAATTCAGTATAAACATCAGCAACCAGATAGTCAAAACTATCATATGCAATGTTTCTTTCTAAAAAATGTTTTGAATAATTTAAATGGGCATTTTATTGGACAGGGAATGTGCAATTTTTCATGTGATTTGTGGAATTTGTTGCTGACTAATCTATTCATCTAATGATGTTTGGCTTTTGAATTCGTCCACTTTTGTTTTTTCTTTTGCTGTTTCGCGAAAACAAATAATTACTACTAGATTTTTATGTTATGATAGGTCGATATATGAAATAGATTCTGTTTTTTATCAGTCAGAATAATGTGCAATTTGGTTAAGTCTCATTGATCTGTGATACTTGCACCATTATTTTACTATTACCATTGCTTTTATGATCATTATTATTATTACTACTTGCAGAAGATTTAAAAGCTAATCTGAATTTTTATAGAAATTAATATATCAAAAATATTTTCATGGATAGATCAAATAATAAGGTTTTCTAGCTAGATTTATTCCCGAAAATATTGTTTCATTAGACATCTTTTTGTAAAATAAATCGAATCGTTGTTTCGCTGCTTTCATTGTTCTTTCGTGACTTCCAATGCCATTCCATTGACTTAGTTTCATTAATTCCATCATTAATTTTAGAACACTGAGAGGCTTGGGAAAGTTTGAATGAACGCCAGCAAACTATTTGTTTAGCAAGATGTACACTTGTAGATATATAATATTTACCTGTTTCAACATACATGAAAGTGTCACATCTATCATAGATCCATCCACAATTAAACAATTTCTTCATTACCTTTCATGTGCATGATAAATTACCTAATTTAAACTAAACATGCAAATTCTCTGAATTTAATTTTGATTCATCAAAAAAAATAATTGGTAAGTTCAAAGATCGAAAATGTTTTTGAAAATCGTACCACAACCAGAAATAATAATATTGACTATAAATTAAATATTTCAAACAATCGAATATTTTTTTTTAGAATACTTTACTTTTCAAAAGCTGTGCAAACCAAATTAGAATAAAATAATTGATTTCATGATTAGTTAGTGTGTAATTATGCATGTGTAGGTCTAATGTTCCGTGTATGTACAATTGGTGCAAATGAATTTAGTGAGTAAAACAAATTATTCCTCAAACCGATCAAAATATATCAAAAGGAATACTAGTGGATCTTCAGCAACCAATTTTTTTTTTCAATACAGCTGAATGAATTTCTTTGAAGATGGCCGTTAGGTATGACCGTTAGTAAAATAAAGTACTGAATCAACAAATATGATATTTTATGTGATTTAAAATGTATATATATTTTTACAGATTCGATTTTTAGTTCTCGGAACAATTTTACACAATGTAATTTTTAATTTTTATTATCAACTACATATTGAAAGACAAATCATTTTATTGTTCTGAGTTCTCCTTGATTAACATTACTTTACAATCGTTTATAAGTGAACGACCCACGTGTTTGGTTTCATTAAGATATATCGATCGAACTGGTCAATCAGCGTATCAGTAAGCGGTTAGTTACAACAAGATCATAAGAAATGTTGATTTCATGTCTAATTTAGTCAGACATATTTTGAAAATATTTCCGATAATATTAACTTCAAGTCGTAAAGTCTAATAGTAAAGTTTCTTAACAAAACTATCTTGTAGTAGACTGATGGGTATAATAAATTTCAATTACAATAAGTCATATTTTGTTTAGGAGTTAACGATAAGTAGTACTGTAAGTTTAGTACTACTATGAAAATAGAAATGTATGTAACAGACCTTTTGTTATTGTTATTGTGATGTCTGGTTTATAGTCCCACCACTATATATATATATATATATATATATATATATATATATATATATATATATATGATTTATTACTGTGTTCCCAAGTGTGCTGGTTGAATATTATTTTAAAAAAAGAATAAATCTTACAACTATTTTATTTCTTATTCTGTGAGTATTACTGCTATTGTAAATTGACCACACCCTTCAATTTTGTATTTTATATTTTAAGGGTTATGTGTACACACTTATTGGATTTTTATGTAATAATGTAGGGCGTTTACATAAACATCTAACTGACTATTCCCTACTATTCTGATAAATGAACTTTAACATCACATTTTCCCGTTTTTCTTTTTGTTATATACGCTTAGATGTCTGTGTCTGAGTTTTATTTTCATAAAAAGTATGGAAAAAAAAATTTTCTTTCTATTTGTATTCTCATTCTTCTTCCAAAGGTTTCAACTTGTCATAATATACCGAAATTATCTACTCCAACTATACAGAGTGAAAATACAAAAATGATGGAATTCATGAATCATAACTGTGCTAACGACATGACCAAAACTACACAGACATCTTTCCTTAATGCTAGATGTACAACAACAACAACAACAACAACTACTACTGCTCCTGTTCAAGCATTGTTTGTTACTACTTCAAGTATCCCACTGCCATTGTCATCAACAGCAACAACATTTACAGGATGCCTGGTAGATAGCACTAAGTTTAATTTGAATTATAATAATAGTAATTTATTACAATCATCATCCTCTTCTAATACACTAGTCAGTCATAACAAATATTTACATTATTCCAAAAAAAGTGATAGAAATCACAGTGACCATGCGACTTTATCAACGTATCAATCTCATCAAATTTTTGATAATAATAAATGGAACAACAATCGGAGCAGTAATAACAGCAACAACATAGAAAACAACAGGAAAACGAAACATGTAATTTCTCTATCAGATTATTTATCAAGTAAGTCAATGCAACAATGCACATCTATCACCTTTGTCTTACGCATAAATATTTTCGGATTATTTATTAAATTACTTTTTTTTGGTTTTTTTGTTTGTGTATTTGATGTTCAATCGATCTGGTAGAGTGCAGAAAATCCTTTTTTTTTCTACCTCCACTGTTTAAGTTTGATAGTTTAAAAACTGGTTATTGCATTGTAAGCATAGAGGTGTAGAGATTGTTGAATTTCATTGAAGTTTTGAACCAATCAGTGTTAGATCCAGGTCGGTACAGAATGACAAAGGTTATTTGATTGTTTTTATCAATAATTAGGCTTGATTGTCTACTGTCATTTTGTTGATTTTGCTATTCTTCTTTTTATTATCGGGAATATTAGTTATCTGGATCAAAAGTTTGCGATTTCAATAACCTGCTAAAGAATAGAAAATAAATGAATAAAGATTTACAATTATACTTTAATTAAGATCATTTTCATAAACACATATTCACTTGTTGCTTACACCAGTAGCTAAGAGATATTAGTGTCAGTGACTGAATTTCAGGTTGACAAATGATTGATGACCGGTAAATATTTTCACTTTTATTTCTTTGCTGACAGAACTTTTGTGAATGTTTAAATAACGGATAATGAATACTGGTTTCGAAGCTATCGCCAACATTTGTCACTAAAACAATTCTTCCGTAACACCACATTTTATCAGGTTCAATCTAAACACAATACGACGATTCCCAATCATATTGAGTTGTTTCTTAGACCGTTTGTGAATATCCTCTAAGTAATTTTAATTTTTTTCCGACATACAAAGAAGTGAATGAAATTATTCGGCAATCGGAGTAAGGTCGTAATTTCAGCATCAGAAGATGAATACCTTAATTGTAGAGCATTTCACCAGTGGAGGTGTAGCAATTTACCCCATATAAACAATAGCGTTCAATAATCTTAAGCTATGGTTACGTTTATGTACTTAACATGAATTAGTATACTGACCGGGAGTAAGACAGTTGTCTTCAGTCTCTATTTTTTTCTGAAACGCTTATAAACAGACTGGTTATGTTTGGAAATAAATTTCATTAAGTTACTTTACTGTTTTGTCGTAGATTTATTAATGGATCGATCTCATTGTTGGGATCGAATTGATGCCTAGAGGTTGTTAATCTAAAAATTGGCACGCTAATGAGTTCACACCTCTGAAGAGTACCACACTATGGTAAAATGTTTTTTCTAGTACTCGCCGGTTCGCATTGGTTGTTTAGGCAATCAGTTTACAATTTAAACTATCTTCGAATTAAGCAATCTCCGCAAAATTTTTATTCGGATAAAATCGAATTTCGTTACCAATATTATTCTCCTACCTTAAATTTCAAACACGTGTTGAAAGTTATTTGAAAACGTTTGGAAAGGAGATTTAGGCATTACATTCTTAGCAATCTTACTTTGCTCACCAGATATTTATTATTCTGAAAATAAAATTATCTCTTTGTTTTCTGGTAATATTTATATGTTAAACGTCAGCAAGCAAGTTTTCTTGACATATAAATCACGTAGCGCTGCTGTATTCTTAAGCTTGAATTGAAGTTTAAATTTAGATTTAAGAGTAAGGTTAGTTCGTGCGATCAACATTAACTGTAATACTGTTGGAGAGTTCCGAGATATTACTTGGAAACGTTTCCAGGAGCTCAGAAACGTCAGGAAACGTTTTGTCCAATCAGAGTTGAACAGAACCTTCGACGAAAAATCTCGAAAATGAGGAATTACGTCCCACGATTGTGATTGTATATTTAACCACAGTTCCCCAAACCTTCAGATGCCTAGGGCCAGGAGTAACCATCATTTTTCTTTACATAAAATTACCTTGGAGTAAAGAGTTCTTTTTGAACCTCATGCCTTTTTTCATGTTTAAGCTGTTCTTTAGATTTAGTCTGGGTTATTGAAAGCAACCAGGGAATCAGATCTTGTATTCCTTAAGCAGATTTATCAACCACAAAAAACTTTGTTAAATGATTTCATTTTTGTACTCGTAATCATTTATTCATATTAACAGTTTTCGGATTGGTTGAATACGGTGAAGAATTTATCATGATTATTTTAAGGTTCGCTCAAGTTTGTCAGCAGTCTTAAACTTTGTCATTCAAAGTTTAAGGGAATCTCAACAAATATTATATTTTTCTACGTGCTTACTTTGGCTAAACAGTAGTACTAATGCATTTTAGTAAAGTTAAGATATAATTTTCGAAGGATCATGAAATTCTAATCGGAATTGCAAACAAAAAATTCACTCTCTATTTCTTAATTAAAAATTGCTTCGTTGTGATTAATCATCTCTTATTAATTGAACCAAACAAAAATGATTTTGTCATAAATATTGTATGGTATCATTGTATTCACATACTAAAACTGATAGGGAAAAGAACAATTTTATCAGAAGATACATCAATAATTCCACCTTTCGGATGTACACTGAAAAAAGAATTGTCTCAGTCAATAAATCATGTCATAATTCTTTGATATTATTGTGGACGGATATTGATTTTGATTAATTAGTAGATAGATAATTGAAAAAATGGCTTGAGGATCAGTGGTACAATAGAATAGGTTTCTAGTAAATCAGGATGAATTTATCAGAACTTTATTCACAATATGGTATCCGTCCATAGTTAGCAATTTTTTTATTTTTAGCAACTACAATTCTTAAGGAGATCAACTTTTCGATACTCTGTTAAATTGTAATAAACGATGGTCGTAAAAAATCGTGGATTCTCTCTTGTTATCCATTTTCTAATATCAGTGACTATTTGGACGGGAAAATGTTCGTTCAACTCGTTACTTTGGCTATTAGATCGAGCATTTCATCAGGAAATTTATTCTCTTTTGTCATGTTCTTTTTTTCCATTGTTTTCATTTACACTATACTCTATCCCGTAATTCTGAAAATCAGTATACAGATTAAATTTATTTCAAATATATACAAAGTTTGAAATAGGAGACCCGACAACTTGATTTCCTTGGTGCTTTTTATTGACACATTATAATCGAAAGAGGTTAAAAGTTTATGTGTAGTTGGAGTTAGGGAAAAAACTCAATTATTTGTAGAGCAAGTGTGTGTAGTTTTGCCCATTTTCAAAATTTATAAAACCACTTCAATTTTACTGATTGTGATTTCTTGTACAGAGATATATCTAAATGACTAAGACAGCTTCTAATCTTGGATAATTTTCACGTTTTGCTTAGATAATTTAGTTTAGCTTAAAACTCCATTTTATCTTGACTTGACAAAACGATGTTAAGTTGGATGTGAGAAAAATTATGAAAAAAATTTAAAAAAGTGTATTTTTGTTCATGTGAATTATACGGTATGTAGACCAATGTATGAAATAAACCTACTCTATGTAAAACGCAATGAAATGAATTATTTACGTGTGATGCTGGCTAATACATTTTTTAACATATTCTCATTAAAACAGAAAGAATTATTTTATTATTAATGTAATATAGAAATGATGCAAAAGGGTATCATACAATCGATTGTTGTTTAGAAATGTGAGTTTCTATTTACAAACCGTTTTTCATTTGGGAGTCATTTTCAACTTAAAGTCAAATAATAACCTTTTTTGTTCAGTCAATTTATCACTATTTATTGCGGGTTGGTTAAAGAGAATTTATAAAATAAGAAACAATGAACTTCAATGAATAATTAAGATATTCATATAGGATGTAGCTTTATATAGAGAAAATATAGTTTGTGGAGAACAACAGCATGAAGTAATGAATATTATTATGAAAGAATATTAGAACTATTACAAAGAAAATTCTGAGGTAAAACATCTATCCAACTGTAATCTATAACAATCAATGATTTGAATAGCCTCAGCGAAATGATGTTAGACGATTTTATAGCTTGAATGCATTGAAATTAAGTTTTTTCTGAACACTTTTAGGCTATAAGAGTGAAAGTGAAGATGAAGTATATACAGTTAATGATATATCGTTTAAGTCAGTACTTGAATATTGAGATTCATTAATGTTTTCTCATCATCTACGCACATACATTATTGCGATCAATTTCTTTTAAGAAATGAATTAATTGTTTATTCAGACTGTCACTAAATAAGTCATTCCGTTGATTCCATTATTATCAATATGTAAATTACACTCTCAAGTCAATATCATGTTTTTATGAGTACCTTGATTCATATAATCGATTTTCGTTTGCAATAAATAAAGCCAAGTCTTTGTTTTAGTTGCATATATCATAATCATTGAATGTAAAAAAAAGCTCCGTACCGAAAAAAAATTACTAAAATAATCATTATCATAAGACTGTATGTATAATTATAATAACTTTTTTGCACAAATAATCTGTGATTTTAAAATGTAATATCTCTGTCACCTAAACCATACATTGTATGCAGTGTTGAAACACTGTATATACGATTAAGCTATAATGCATTGGTTTTTGCAGTCTTTGAATTATTACATTGAATTATTTTTTATATGTTGGCATGACCATGTGTTGTTTTACAATAAAACTTGTTTAAAGTTGCAAATACATTGCTACAATTAAAAAACTCATGACTTTCGTTTAGGCGATAAATTAAACTGACAAACGTTTGCAACCCATAGTGAGAAATTTTTTACACTAAAGTATTATTTCTAACAGCTACTGACAATCACAGAAAATCGATCATCTCGCCAGTTAAATCTTATTCAACTTAAAATCTGTTCTATTTATTATACTTTTAGGCATTTACATTCATGTGAAGAATATATAAAAAGAGATAACTAACAATGTTTTAGAATAACTAAGTGATTTTGAGTTTTCTTTATCAATAAAAACTTACTCAACATGCTTTCTTTTATCTGTAAAGTTATTTTTTGTTCTTCGTTGGAATTTTAAACAGTACACTAAAAATCCAAAGCAAGTAAAACAATGTAATGTAATTTTTCACTGTTTAGTGTTTTACTATCTCTCTACAACTTGATTTATTAATGAATGTTACAT